CACGCGTGCACGCCCTACTCCGATGTGCGCGACCCCCCTGCGTATGCTGCGGCCGTGGCAGTGCGCACAGCCGCAGTCGCCACGGTGCATGTCGCGGCCGCCATTTTGATTTCCACAGCGGCAAAAATGCACTGCACTGGTGGTGCGCGGCGGCGGCAGCAACCTTCGGCCATAGGTTGCCAGTCCCTGAAAAAGGCCAATCCGAGATAAACAAGTCCGGTTGCAGAAAGCACAGCAGAAGGTCTCCTTGGGTGATGTTTCCGGGTTGTGATTCTTTCTACGTTGTCGTTTCTCTTCGAGACTTGTTCGGCGTGACTTCTCAAATAAGGCTGCAGCATTGTGGATAGTGCGTCTCCATGCCTCCCAATGTGAGGCCAGGGTGGACCATTGTTGGTGATCAATTTGGCCGAGCCTGAGATGTTTCAGGGAGTCCTTGTATCGCTTTTTTGGAGCGCCCCTCTTTCGCTGACCCGTGGCGAGTTCACCCTAGAGTACTATTTTTGGAAGGCGATGGTCCTCCATCCTAGAAACGTGCCCTGCCCGGCGCAGCTGCGTTTTCAATAGCATGGCCTCAATGTTGGTTCGTCACATAGTCAGTCCAATGTATATTTAGGATTGTCTGAATCCCCAAATAAATCGCAGACTCATTGAGAAAGCTTTGCCTCTATCGGTCTATTCCCTAGCCACCTCCGTAAACATAGGATAAAAGATCCCATTGGAGACTTGAACTTTTAGCAATTCCCCAGGTTCATGTTCTTCTTAGAACAGAATCATAGAGCTGGAAGAGACCTCCAAAGGCCATCCAGTCCAATATCATTCTGCCATGCAAGAATACACAATTCATGCACCTCCACTCCCGACAGATGGCCATCCAGCCACTGTTTAAAAACCTCCAAAGGAAGAGACTCTCACCACAATCTCCAAGGCAGCCTCTTCCACTTTCTAACAGCTCTTACCTTCAGGGAGTTCCTCCTAATGTTGAGCTGGAATCTCTTTTCCTGTAGTTTGAACCCATTGCTGTGGGTCCTATTCTCTGGAGCAGCAGAAAACAAGCTCGCTCCATCCTCAACATGATACCCTTTCCAATGTTTAAACCTGGCTTCATGTCAACCCTTAACCTTCTCTCCTCCAGGCTAAACCTACCCAGCTCCCTAAACCACTCCTCATTGGGTTTTATGCTTTCCAGACCTTTGATGATGATGGAATTCAAAGATATAGCCGTGTTAGTCTGTAGAATCAGTATGGAGAGAGATCTTGTAGCACCTTTGAGCCTAACTAAGGACCTTCTTTAAAACTGCACTTGCTACTTCATTTCCATAAACAAAGGATTTTGAATTTGAATTGACATTCTCACATACCAAGGGCATATATACGTTGGCCCCTGGTTTCCACTCCACTAAATGCATCTGAGGAAGTAAACTGAAGTCTCACACTTTGATGATGATGGTTTGGTATATGTTTCTTCCTTCTGCCATGGCAATAGCGTGGGAGGCGATGGGCTCATTTGGCACATTAAGTGGGCAATTGCCGGAGACCTTTCTGTCCCTGGTGCCTGGAACACAAGGCTCCCTTCTGAGAGCAAAAGCAGATCAGCAGAAGAAGTGGAGGCAGGAGGGAAGGAGCAAAGACAAAGGCCTGCCTTCCCTCCCACCACTCTACAACGCTGCTTTCTTGGCAGCCCTCCCTTTCCCGCCTTCCTTTCCCACTCAGCAAAGGGTTTCCAAGCGACTCCAAACCTTGCCAAGAATAATTGCCCAGAACAACAGTACCTTGACAGCTTACTAAGCAATCCTACGGATGATGCCAACACAGAGAAGCAAAGCCCACGGAGCTCAGCATCATGCTTTTGCACCATTTGGGAGGTTTTGTGGGCCAAAGAGGGCTCCTTTTTCCTCCAATGTTTGGGATCCGGGACCCTCAAAGGTGTCCTAGGCCCCACAAAAATAGGGTTGAGGCTCAAGGGCCACACTTTTCCCACTCCCGTTCTTACTCAGAGGTGTTTATGGCTGCATCTACACTGCAGAA